GGCCGCACTTAAGAATTTTAACCCTCAGGCAGTAGAATTCTCCTTTCTGTGTTGCCAAAGAAGGGGGGCTGAACACCTTTCTGCATAGGCGGCCTTTGGCCGCACTTAAGAATTTTAACCCTCAGGCAGTAGAATTCTCCTTACTGTTTTGCGAAGAAAAAGAGCTGAACACTTTTTGCAGAGAACACCTTTCTGCGTAGGCGGCCTTCGGCCGCCCTTAAGGATTAAAACCCTCAGGCAGTAGAATTCTCCTTACTGTTTTGCGAAGAAAAAGAGCTGAACACTTTTTGCAGAGAACACCTTTCTGCGTAGGCGGCCTTCGGCCGCCCTTAAGGATTAAAACCCTCAGGCAGTAGAATTCTCCTTACTGTTTTGCGAAGAAAAAGAGCTGAACACTTTTTGCAGAGAACACCTTTCTGCGTAGGCGGCCTTCGGCCGCCCTTAAGGATTAAAACCCTCAGGCAGTAGAATTCTCCTTACTGTTTTGCGAAGAAAAAGAGCTGAACACTTTTTGCAGAGAACACCTTTCTGCGTAGGCGGCCTTCGGCCGCCCTTAAGGATTAAAACCCTCAGGCAGTAGAATTCTCCTTACTGTTTTGCGAAGAAAAAGAGCTGAACACTTTTTGCAGAGAACACCTTTCTGCGTAGGCGGCCTTCGGCCGCACTTAGGGATTATAACCCTCAGACAGTAGAATTCTCCTTACTGTTTTGCGAAGAAAAAGAGCTGAACACTTTTTGCAGAGAACACCTTTGTATATTTTTAATGCTTACTGGGTTATATCCTATCTTCTTTTGTCTCTCATTCTTTTGCATATTTTGGAGTTTGACAGCTGAACTCCGCCATTTAATTTGCATATGCAACCAAAGTCAGACGCGTGATTTTGAAGGTGTTTTTATTTAATGAATTGTGATGAATTGGTTAATATTAAAGTCGTAAAGCAAGTTATAACAAATCAAGTAAAGTGTAAAGTGAAGGGGAATACAAAAATATANAGTTAAAATTAATGTAATAAAGAAAGTTGTAACAAGTCGAATAAAGTTTATAGTGAAGGGGAATATAAAAATGCATTGGTGAAGTGGCTGCTTTAAGGAAAATAGGAGTGATAAATGTACGCTAATTTCCGAATTTTACAAAAAAGGGCATATTTCAAACCCAATTTGTAAATAAATTAGTGACCAAAAATTACAATAGTGGATGTTAAAATAATGGGTAGACCCTTGGCTACAAGTGCGTTTGGATCGGGTCACCCCTTTGGACGCAATACCCCGAAATAGGTGGGCCACTTACTAAACAGTACCCAAATTCTCAAATAATAAGTCAGTTTCACGCTAGTTCTTTTAAAGTAAATTTGTGCATAACATTTAGATATCTACTATTTGTATGTTTCACAGCATGCTTTCGATAAACATCGACTTCAAATCACTGCGGTTGTTCTGGCTATTTCACCCAATTAACAAGAAATGGATACCTTATTCTTTTGCATAATCATGCAATGAAAATAAAAATTACATAAACGAATGATCAAACTTGACATTATTTAATAAAAATGTAATTTGTAATTTTCACATTCGTTTTGCTATATCGTAAATTAAGTCGGAAACTATTTAGTAGAAGTCTGAGATGCGACTATGAATAGAGGTAAATTTTAAGTTGGTACTTAAATTTAAGTTGCAACTTTGTTTGTTTCGACTTAGTTGCTGGACTATGAATACACGCCAATTACTTTGAAAATATGCAAAATCGTAGGCAATGAACAAGTATTCGATACCTTTCCGATACTGAGTAGGTATCGATACCTTGTTTGATACAAGTATTGATTTGAGTAATATCTGGATGGTATCGATTTATTCCTAGATGTATGTGTGTATGTACATATGGATGCGAGCGTACAATCGATAGTTTCTTTCCGAAATGGTCAGTCGATTTTGGCAGGGTTGTTTCTCCAAAAATAAAATAAATCGATAGTACAATCGATAGTTTTGCAGCTCTATTTGTTCGTGAAAAGTGCTACAATTTGTAAACACACTTATAAACGCATTTTACTTAAGTAATTGATTAATAGATATATGTATATTAAAAGTACTATATACGCAAGTGAACATTGTGCGGGGATTTAGTGCACATATTTTGCCGAAGTGTATACGTAAATATAGTGTTAATTGTGTGAAATAGCGCCGAGAGGTTAGTTCAATTTACAAACTAACAACAAATAACTTAAAATCTTTAAGCCTCCCGCTGCTAAAAACTATATATTTGCAATCAGGAGAGCTCCCCCTACCATAGGCACTTTTATGCGGAACTCCGGGGATTCCAAACTAAATTGCAGCCTTTACTATGCTTTATAGTTAAAAATGGAGAAAACAGAAGGTTTTTACGATCTATGCATACCTTATGAGCAGGACGAAAAAATCTTGCGAGAAATCGTCAAAGAAGCCCTAAGACGTAAGAAATCTATTTTCGTTATTGGGAAAGTAAAGACTAACGTTTTTTTTTTGTTTGTTTTTAGTGGGCTACAAAACCATTGCTATAGATCAATTGTATGATCACAGTAAACGAGATGTTACCAAACGGACGCCGGACATATTTCCTGCACCTACTATACTGAAAAAATTGGAAGATGAGTTTAAGAACCAAGTCAAAATCCTAAAGAGGTTGACAATTATATACGTTGATGTTGGAATTGCACACGCAATGGTATCAAAGAACAAATGTTTTTCTTTTTATCGATTACAATTCATTTCTTCATAGACGAATTCCCAAAACCTCAGAATGTACAACATAATTGCTGGTCAACCAAAGACTGACGGCGCTTTGACTGTAACCCAATGTTACATTTATGAGTTTTTTTTTTAATTGTAAAAACCTTTACTTTCTAATTCTAGCACTGTTGCACCAGTTTCTCTGGTGACTTGGTGACTTTCGACATGGAAACAAGAGTCAAGTTGTTGGTGAACCGAAAGGCATATCAAATGGCTGTAAAGCGGGGAATGTTTTTTGAAATCAAATATGGACCAGCTACAAAAGATTATTGCATACGGAAAGATATGATAAAGTTGGCACACAACTACTGTGTTCGTGGGAAATCAAGAAATATTATTTTTAGTAGCGGCGCAAAGAATGCCTTTGAATTGCGAGGACCCTACGATGTGGCAAACTTGTAAGATATTTATAAAAAGCTCATTTATTTTGGTATTTTCATGCTACTTATATACGAATTTAAATTAGGTCATACATATTTGGATTATCAGAGGATCAGGGGAAGAACGCCGTGGATAAATCGTGCAGGCAATTATTTCTGAGAGCTGGTAAACACCTAATAAGATGTAGATGATTTGTACAAAAATCAAACTTTCGTATATTTTGTAGAATCTCGTCGTACTGGCAAAACAATTATGACTTTAAAGGCTTCAGGGCCTGTAGTGTTTTCCAATATCTCTGAAGAGGAGGAAGAGATGCATGATTATAAACAAAGATGCTATGATTTTAGTACCGTAAAGGATGAATCTGAAAGTGATTCACTAGAACAACCAAGCAAAAAGAAATTAAAATTGCTGTGAAATTTGTAAATTAATTTTCCACTGAGAGGTTACAATAAAGAAAATTATCAGCGGAGTGACTATTGGCACACAATACGGTTGTTGTACACGGATTTTGCTACGGGTTCAATTTTTGGCACACCATACGGGTTTGGGACGGGTCGCTCGTATACGGGTTTTAACTATTGGCACACAATACGGATCTCATACACGGTCTCGCTAACGGGAAAGTTTGAAAAAAAATATTGGCAGATTTGTAGTAAGGCCAATGCGGACTATATGACTTAGTTGGAATGCATTTTTTCAATTGGTATGATGATTGACATACATATCTCACACCATCTTCAAAAGTGACACAACTCAAAATAACACGTTCGTCAGAAAATGCGAAAAACTAGTTCGTAGCACATGCTAATCTAATCATATGGGCAGGAGAGACTTTACCTTAGATATTATATCTTATATATTATTTCTCTAAGGTGTTTTTTTGTTAGTCTCCCTTTTTCTACTTTTCTATGTAAGCAATTTCACTAATGAGGTGTAATTTGAAAAGTGAGAGGTCCCCTGAGTGGTTATTAGGTAATATTAATGGTCATAACACCACTGAAGTCAAGAAATTTGTAATTTTATTTTTGTTTTTAATTTACCATAGATAAGCCACACTAAAGGTGTCAATAATTAAAGGTTCGATAAACTGACAGTTGTCTCTCTCGCACCGCTCCCTTAGCTCAGATATTGTTTCTGTTAAAGAAATATTTAATCAAAAAGTTCATTCTGAATATATTTTCACCTCAAATATTGTATACAAAGATATATTGTAAGTAACACCATGTTTTCCTCAACTCATGACACTCATATATCAGTCAGTTTGTAATATGTTTTTATGTACCTAATAAGTATAAGTTCTGATGTACTATAAATCTCATTCACGTTTTGTTATATATGTATAATAAAAATAAGGGGTTCATAAGAATAATTCTGTTAACTATTTCCGCGAACTATTAGAACAGTCTGCTTTTATCTCTGGCTACAAAGAGGGATGAGTTTACTGTGTATTTCTGTCTGCGCAGTCTGCGCATGGGCCCGCTTGTTATAAATTATAACAAAAATTTTATCCAGCTTTTGCTTAAAGACAAATAGAAGCTCGCTGTACATTTTTAGCACATAATTTCAAAAATTCCAAATTTTGAGTTGCGTCACTTTTGAAGATCATGTGTGATGAGTACACGCATTGAATACGGACTTACAAAATTCTGGTCTCTGTGCCGTTTTCACAGTGAGGGGTTAACTTAAATTCGGCAGTTAACTTCTAATTTTTGTACTGAAAACCTATAGTTAACTGCCGAATGAGAATTATGGGTCGATTACGGATGGCAACCGAACTTCAGTTGAGTTGCCAGCGACTGAAATTGTATTACAGATGGCAACTGGCTACTGAAAGCTGGCAACCGAATTGCCTTATTAGCGACTGCATTTTTGTGGTTGCCGCGGAAATTTCGATTTTGAAAATTTATTTATTTTTTTCAACTGTTTCCACGGCTTATTTACATTCAAATCTTGGTTTGCTGGTACCTCAAAAATCGATTATCTTCAACTTTGTAGCACTTAACAATAGTTGCTGTTCATAATAGGCTGTTTTTGCTTACGCGTAAAAGCACATTTAGCGCATTTAGCTCTAAATGCTACTCTAAATGTACATTTATCCATACAAAATTCGTCACCTAAATGCAACTAAATGCAACTCCATTTTTGCATTAAGAATCTAAATGCTAAAAGCAACCCTGTGATCTTCCAAAATTTCCACGATTCGAACATGGTTTAAAGAGAAAAAGTGGCAACATTGCTTTTTCGAGTATACAGTTGCTAGCTGCGTTTCAGTGATCGCCGATCGAGATTTCTTTTATTTTGCATTACATATTTGGATAAAGAAAAGTTAAGCAAATTCAACATCGATTTGATGCTGATAGAAATCTGGATCAATTTGTGATCAACTCGGTTCGTTTTGTTTCCTAATTAAGTGAGAAAATTTTAATTGACAGCACCGACAAATGAATATATACAAAAACAAATTTTCGGTTATGGTTAAAACAATACAAGTTTTTGTATTGAATTTTTGGTTTAAAATTTATTTTTTCCTTTTCAGTAGGGTTTTTGCACATTATCTCCTGCGTGAGAATTGATCGTAATATATACGCATCTAAATAAGAGACTGGAACACGGCTGTTTGTCAAAAGCATACGATTTCGAACTCGCGTAAATGTACATTTGCTAAATGCTATAGCATGAACGCTCTTCGAAAACATATGTTCGAAAGTGCTAAATGTTGCATTTTTAATGCAGTAAAAACGCTGCATAATACTCAATTTCATTTCAGTGGCGTTGCCCTTCGGCAACTCAACTGAGCTTGCGTTGGTATTCATAACCGACCCATTAAGTCGTCACTGTAAAAACGGTCTGTGGCATCCTCTCTCGCACTACTTCTACTGACATCCTTGATACAGCTGTAATGGGCTGTTTTTGCTTACACGTAAAAGCACATTTAGCGCATTTAGCTCTAAATGTACATTTATCCATACAAAATTCGTCACCTAAATGCAACTCAATTTTTGCATTAAGAATCTAAATGATAAAGCAACCCTGTGATCTTCCAAAATTTCTACGATTCGAACATGTGGGGTGTTCACAGTTCGTTCCAAATAGTGTCTGAAAATGTAGACGTCTACATTTTAAGACGTTTTCTAACCGTAAAATCTATGGTGTTGTTGTTTCCCATACAAAATTGGAAAACGACGCCGTCTACATTTTGTCACACTCAAAGGTATGTTTTTTACGCGTCTACATTTTGCAACCTCGCAGCAGGGTTGCATTATGGCAATACTAATCACATTTTTTTNATCTTTGAAATTTGTGTGTAAAAATTGTTAATTTATACAAGAGCTTTACACATTTTTAGTTTAATCAAAGAATAATTGCCTTTTTGTGTCCAAAAAGCGTTAACAATGTAATAAATGTAGTGTTTGTTTACATACATTTTGTTTTTGTCTTCCCTTTTCATTTGATGAGAAGTCAAAGCAAATGCGAATCAAGCAGTGTAAACACCTTCAAATGACTGATTTCAAATCACGCATTTTGGTCCAATGTAAATGTAATATTATGGTTAAAACAATTCAAGTTTTAGTATTGAATTTTTGGTTTAAAATTTTTTTTTTTCCTTTTTTGCACATTATCTTCTGCATGAGAATTGGTCGTAATAGATACGGATCTGAATAAGCGACTGGAACACGACTGTTTGTCAAAAGCATACGATTTCGAACTCGCGTAAATGTAAATTTGCTAAATGCGATAGCATGAACGCTCTTCGAAAATATATGTTCGAAAGTGCTAAATGTTGCATTTTAAATGCAGCAAAAACGCTGCATAATACTGTATTTTAAACTAAAACCATAGTTCATTATTATTGAAATATGTAAACAGTGAATTCAAAAGACATGTTAACCATCGTAAAATCTTAGGCAGTATCTACACACACGCGCCACGGTAACTTTTACCGTAGTAAAATTACCGTATATCCACGGTAGAATTACCGTATATCCACGGAAGAATTACCGTATATCCACGGTAGAATTACCGTAGATCCACGGTAAAAATTACGGAAAAATCTGACTACGATGGATTATGTAATAGCCCTCAATAAGTTTTATCTCTGCGTGAAAATCTTAGAAATCTTAAAAAAATTTTTTGTGATTGAAAAAATTAAAAACTAAATAATTATTTTCGTTGAGCCAAGAAATAAAACTCAATAATAATCATAAAATAATGATTAAAACTGATTTTAATTATTTTCCTGATGCTGACTACCGTCCCTGGTAAAAACGTAAAGGCCGGTTTCACCAACCTAACTTAAGTTGAACTTAAGTTATAGTTGAGAAAAATCTTATACCATGTCCCCACCGCAACTAACCACGTAGTTATGGCTAATGAGTTGGTTATCCCGATAACCCACTTGATTTAGCGTAGTTTCGCCATATTAAAATGACAGCACTAAACAATTTCACTGAGATGGTTAAAAGCTAACCAAGTCGAAACCACGTCGAAAGTTTGATACAACCCTGTGTTTTCCCGCCATCTGTGGGTCATTAGCGTTAAAATGTAAAAAATTCGTTCCCTACTAGTGTTTGGACTTCAATAAGATCACATTAGATTTACTCCTCTTTTTGGAAAAATTTGAAATCTAGTCCTCTACTCCGCTTGAATTCAAATCTACTCCATTTTTTCAGTCATGTTATGCCCCTTTTGGGACCGTTTTTGAGTGTTCACCACCAGTTTCAGTGAAAGTTAGCCAAATCTCGCTGTTAAAAAGTAACTCGTTCATAGCAATGTGTCAATAAAGTAACTTCGGTAATTTTTGATGTATGGCTGTAGAAATTGGCGGATGCAGAGCTTTACTTAAGTTGTTAAAAAATATATGTAGAATGAAATTTATATAAAGTTGAGAAGGTTTAGATCCTATTGCTCTTTAAAAAATGAAGTGTTAGATACGTTCTACTTTATAGAAAATGCCAAAAATTACCTAAATATGTAACATATTATCCTTACATGGACTCGCGTTTTAATTTTTGCATGAATAGAAAATATTTAAGTCAAACAATTAATGTCAGAAACGAAAATAAAAAATTCAATCTAGTACGGAAAATTTGTTTTTGCTCCGACTTTTGCACCGATTTAGTCCTGAATCGAGTTTTGGACGTCCGACCACTGTTCGCAACATTTGTACTGTTTTATAAACCTCAAACCGCAGTGTGGACAGCAATAGTTAGTGATGTGGTTAAGTTCGATTTAAGATAGTCAACTTTTTGGTGGGGACATGGTATTAGCTAAGATCAGTTAAAGATTTTGCTAAAATTTCAGTTTCACGATGCATACTTAAGTATGGAAAATATGCCATTCTGAAATATGGTAGCACCGCAGCGAAATGCTTTGTTTACGTACTTTGGCATCTATCCATATCGTAAATCATCTCTTTTAGCATGCCTAATAATAGATTTGATTCGTATTTTCGGATTAAATCTAGTAAAACTGTCAAAAAATAAAAAT